AACATGCAAATACAACGATATAAATAAGAGTACAGGGGAATTCGAATCGTCCTAGCTAGCCATGTACTCTAAGGGGTACATTCCCTTATTCAAGTTCATTCACAACCGTGCAGCGCGTACAGTTATGAAACCTTTTCCTCCTGCCTGCAGCTGCTGATGCCATTTGCTCCGACGGTCCAGATCCACCCCAACTGTCTGACGCTTCGAGTCAATTCTGACTCTTCGGGTTCGTTCTCGTTACTGCATGTTTCCTTAGCTGCGGTGAGGAGTGCACAGTAATGTTAAAAGATTACTATTCGTAACGGGAACGTACCCCTTAGAGTACATGGCTAGTCTAGGTCGTTTCGCATTCCTTTGTATTTCTATATAAACCATATGTACGCATGCTATCATCAATCTCAGTCATTTACATTCACTCTGACCTGAGTTCACTACTTCCGCTGCGACACTACCTGCGATCAACCCTGAACGATCCTTTCGCTAAGTCCCACTTCAGATTGTAACATGGTATGAGAGCTGCTCAGGGATTCTTCGCAACGTCACTTCCGTAAAATTCGCCAAACCCATATCCGGCGAGCGGCACACGATCCAAGACAAAAATGGTCGGACGATCCGGAGGCCAAACAAATCTGACAGCCGAATGGCAAACCAACCCGGCTGCGACAAATGAGGCGACAACCACGATCGGCACTGCCGCCCTCGAGCAGTTATTCGCTCGACTATCAACCATGGAGAAAAAAACTCCAAGAACTGCGCAAAGGCGATGCGGGAACCACTTCCCAACCAGTTCAACCTGGACAACCGGCTGCGAAAAGCCGCGATACCGCCGCGCACGGCTTCTCCCTCAACTCTGCGCAAGCACGTTTTCTCAGCGTGTAAAAAATCAAGACTACCGCCGCATTTGACGGCAAGGATTTCTACACATGGAGTTTTGAGCTTGAGCTCCTCCTACAGACAGCGCTGATCTACTACTACTTCGACGGCTCCTATCCTTAACCCGGTGGAAGACACCGAAGACGCCCGGGCTCAATACTACAGAGAGTCGCTCATGGCGTACAGCGTTCTGCTGCACAACCTTTGTCGTCATGGGCAATGCTCATTGTATGTGTTGTTTTGCGCCGGGCTAGAAACCGTTAGAATGGCGTCTTGTGTGGTGACACAGGTCTCCGACTGCGTCATCTGCTGGGAGGAGAGGAAAGACCGGCTTTCCAACTCCGCCGGCGGGAACGCCCACGTTGTGGATTAGCTCAAGGTCCTTATGAAGGAGGCAGTGGAGAGGGCGATCAGGATCCGCAACCCCGAGTATGACGCGGAACGCGAGGCGTGGATTTGGGGGCGCCATGGGCTGCGCATTTGTGCGTGTGGCCTGGAGCACATGAAGCCAACGGCCGCAGCTCCGTCCGAGGACCTCATTGGGGATGACGACCTTTCGGCGTCATTTGGGGCAGAGTAGAGAGGCAAACATGGGGGGCTGTTTACATCGCGGTTCATGAGTCGCTTTTGTGTACGGGAGATGCAGAGTAGGTTCGTGGGCGTGGGTTTGTTGCATGTGTGGGAGTGCTACCAATGGGTGATAGCGGTATTGTGGACATGTTAGGAGATTGTGCGTGTGTTGTTGAATGAATGAGAAAAAGTGTTCTTAGGGAAGTGATGCAAAGTATTGTTGAGATACTAGCACAAGTGGTAGTTAGGTTTAGGGCCTAGGCTTAGAAGCCTAGGCCACGGGGGGAGAGGAAGTTTGTGCCAAGAGAGAAAGTCGAGAATAGGAGAGGAATGATGCAATATGAGAAACAAGTACAAGTTATAGTTCAGGAAGGGTGCACCACCAAGCAAGAACAAATGTATGACTACACTACAGCTAGAACTACATGCAGTTATATATAATTCTGACATCCCCCCGTAACTGCATGCAGGAATAGCTAAGTGAAAGACACAACCTGCAGGGGTACACCACAGACCAAGAAAACAGCAACAGCAGGCAAGGCAGCAGAAAAGGTTCGGCAGCAAAGGGGCAGGCGACAGCAAGGCACTTCTGCCACCCCCTTACTCTCCTCCCCCCCGGACCACAGGAAGGGCGGCAGGGAGAGAGAGGAGGCGGGCTGGCGCTGGCTGGTCACCCCTTCCATCCCCTCACCCTCCCCCTCCCCCTCCCCCCCACACTGCTGCAGGAGCAGCAGAGGGGGGAAGAGAGGAGAGGTGGAGGGACGGCTGCTGGTTGGTCTCACACCCGCCACCCCAGTGCCACTCCCCCGGCTCCCCCACACCCTCACACCCTCCCCCCCAGCGGCAGCTGCAGCAGTGGGAACGAAAGGAGGAGGAGGGGAAAGGAAGCACAGGGGCGGCTGCACCGAGTGCAGTCGCGGGTGAGGCAGGGGCACAGTCGCGGGCGCCAGGGGCGGGTCCGCGGCGGCTCAGGGCACCGTCGCGGGCGCCAGGGGCGGGTCCGCGGCGGCTCAGGGCACCGTCGCGGGCGCCAGGGGCGGGTCCGCGGCGGCTCAGGGCACCGTCGCGGGCGCCAGGGGCGGGTCCGCGGCGGCTCAGGGCACCGTCGCGGGCGCCAGGGGCGGGTCCGCGGCGGCTCAGGGCACCGTCGCGGGCGCCAGGGGCGGGTCCGCGGCGGCTCAGGGCACCGTCGCGGGCGCCAGGGGCGGGTCCGCGGCGGCTCAGGGCACCGTCGCGGGCGCCAGGGGCGGGTCCGCGGCGGCTCAGGGCACCGTCGCGGGCGCCAGGGGCGGGTCCGCGGCGGCTCAGGGCACCGTCGCAGGCGCCAGGGGCGGGTCCGCGACGAGCAGAAAAAACGTCACGCGCCACCCGGGCGCGGGACAGAAGGAAATTCGCCACGCGCTCGCGGCGCGTGACCGGAAAAACAGCAGCGGAAGCTTGAGGCAGGCCCACAGGCCAGGACGTAACAGGCTCTAATGCCATGTTGAGATACTAGCACAAGTGGTAGTTAGGTTTAGGGCCTAGGCTTAGAAGCCTAGGCCACGGGGGGAGAGGAAGTTTGTGCCAAGAGAGAAAGTCGAGAATAGGAGAGGAATGATGCAATATGAGAAACAAGTACAAGTTATAGTTCAGGAAGGGTGCACCACCAAGCAAGAACAAATGTATGACTACACTACAGCTAGAACTACATGCAGTTATATATAATTCTGACATCCCCCCGTAACTGCATGCAGGAATAGCTAAGTGAAAGACACAACCTGCAGGGGTACACCACAGACCGAGAAAACAGCAACAGCAGGCAAGGCAGCAGAAAAGGTTCGGCAGCAAAGGGGCAGGCGACAGCAAGGCACTTCTGCCACCCCCTTACTCTCCTCTCCCCCGGACCACAGGAAGGGCGGCAGGGAGAGAGAGGAGGCGGGCTGGCGCTGGCTGGTCACCCCTTCCATTCCCTCACCCTCCCCCTCCCCCTCCCCCCCACACTGCTGCAGGAGCAGCAGAGGGGGGAAGAGAGGAGAGGTGGAGGGACGGCTGCTGGTTGGTCTCACACCCGCCACCCCAGTGCCACTCCCCCGGCTCCCCCACACCCTCACAAGTATAGCCAAACGTAGTTACAAGAGGGTGAGCAATGTGGGGGGCAGTCGTAAACCAGGTGTGCGTGCAGCGTAATGTCGCGCCGCATTCGGCGGCGCGTTTCACGGTGTTAGCCAGATGTTGCGAGGGTGTTGGCACGTGGTAGTCACCTTTGTGTGCACATGGAGTGAAATGATTGCATAACCGAATGCATACGCGTTGAGCTGGAACCAATGGCATACTAGATACGCATACACGAAACGGCGCGTGTCACCCTCCGGTACGGTGGAAAGATGTACAGGTGGGAAGCACGTTTCGATACTAGCGGGGGGTGCGTCAGATGTACGGTCATGATTGTTTCGGGCGGATTTTGCGAATGTGGGTGGCGATGAGATGGCTCCGGGGTTACTCGAAGTGCGAGAAAACAATCGACAGACAAGTGTATGGGATGGATGCCGGATGTGAGCGTGACATGGCAGCTCGGTGTTCGAGACGATGTGTTCTGATGGACGGGAAGGTTGGAGTCGTCGCCTAGTTGCGTGTGCACAACTACTGGGTTAGCGAGAGGTTGGGCGACGTGTACGAAACTGTGGTGAAGCGACAGATGGGCGGTGAGTATGCAATGTTGGATAGTGTGCGGACGTTTGATGCGCCAAGCGAGTGTTGCCAAGTGGGAACATGCTAGTGGACACCGTACCCGGGATTTGCTAGGCGCTTCGCGAGGTGCTTACAAGTGTCAAGTTTGGACAGGGAGCGTGACGAGGAGATGGACGGCAGAGATGCGCGCGCGGTGTTCCAGCGAGTATGGGCGAGTTGTTGCTAGCGAAGGAGTAACATGGTGTGCGATTAGTTGCACGGGAGGCACGTGAACCGCGGCGATTGCGTGACCAAATGTGTATCCGACGGATGGGGTGCGGGTACGTTTTGGTGCGTGTACGCTTACGTGGACATGCGGGTTGATACTGGTTGCCACGTGGGTGGGCGCGTACGGAGTGGCCGTTGGGGTTGCTTGCTTGTCACTTTCCAGTTGGTTGGATGGGATAGGATAAGTAAGCTTTTGAGTGGTGCAGCCTGTTTCGGTTGAGCAACGACAATGTAGCGGGTGTAGTACCTGTTTTGATGCGCGCATGTGTACAAAATGCAATGGGAAAGTGACTGGGAAGTTGCTTTGTAAGTGACGTTCGGTGCAGTTTTAAAACCTTGACTTGAAAATGCGGAAGAGTGTATTTTGAGTTGCTCTCCGAACTGTTCATTTTCGCGATGTAGGATCCAGCATAGGATTGTTATCATTGCTTGTACATATCCCGTTCCTTGCTGGTGACAGCAGAGATAGGATCAATGGCGTCCCGAGCCTCGAAAACAGTGGCTACACGCAATCAATTCGCCCGAAAACATTGGAAGTAGCCAACCATTGGCCAACTCGACAGGCGATGGCGACTGGTTCCCCCCCTCTAGTTGCCAGCGACTGTTTTCTACACGAAATCGACTCAAGGCAATTTTACTTTGTGCGGCGCCCGTTGACCCCTGTCGACCCCCTTCAGGTCGCAGTCCCGACGCAGCGGCTCCAGGGCGTCAAGGCATTTCTTGACGGCGTCCGGATTGCTCTGGGAGTTGCAGTTTTGCGTCTCTCGATTGATATCCGCCCGGCATGGGATAGAAATACCTGGGGTGCGGTAGGGACCGACAAGTGAGGAAGCAGGCAGAATAGGAGGTTTGAGGAGCATGTGTTGTGATTATTTTTGGCCTTTTCCGGAAGAAAATGCGATATCAAAGCGGGTAGTGTCTCATTGCTGCAGAGAAATGAAGGCCGTCGCTTCACAATCCCGGAGGGCACGGCACGGGACAAATCTCCAAGTTGGAGAGAAACGAGCACTCTGGAAACCCGGCTAGAATGCACAGAGGGGGACCGGCAGAGAACTTGATCGCTCATTCTACGTTTAGTTCGTCAGTACACGCTCCTATCATCTTACCATCGTTGAATGCCATAACGAGCTTGCGGTGGCGCTGCTCGCGCGGCACTTCGTTGGGCTGCACGGCACTCGCCGCTGTTGTGACGACGCCTGCCGCCTCGGCGCTCGTTGCTGGTAGGGGCAGGTTAAGGGGAGTGAGACGAGTGAGGGGCAGAGAGAATGTTAAGCGGATGAGGCTTGGGGAGATTGAGCTGGGAATAAGTGGGCAGATTGAGGGGAGTGAGACTGAAGGTAGTGTGCTTCGGGCAGGAGGGAGTGAGTGGCGGATAGGGGATTGGCCGAGGATGAAAGGGATTGAGGGGAGCCGTGAGTTGAGATTATTGGCGCAGTGGATGCAGGGGGGAAGGACATCGCAAGTGCCGCGGAAACCCGTGTCAAAGTGCAGCAGCAACTAAATACGCAAGCGGCGCAAAGATGGGTATTTTCAGTCAAGAGCCAGTGCTCTTGAGCTGCCACAGGCTGCATGTGGAAAAAACGAGTGATGTGGAAATTGCGTTGAAGTAAGTGTGGTGCGTGGGAGCGTGTGGGCTGCAGTGGAGGCGAAAGTGAGGAGGGAGAAATGCAACACGAGTGAAGGCGCAATGACAGGGCCTCAACTTAGGTTTCGTGATGGCACGAGAGTATACGGGCCGTACCTTGGGCGAATGAGAGCGCTAGGATTGCAGCGAGGAAGAGCGCGAGGCCGACGGAGAGAATGGGGCGAGCCATGGCGTGGTAGCGTATGGGCTGGAGAGAGGTTGAGAACTGAGAAAAGAATATGATTTGAGACTGATGGTTAGAGCAGTTCAGCGGCGGGAGTTAATAGTCGGGATGAGTCCATTTCGATGGACCAAGAAAAACGAGAGCGCGACATCGAGCGGCGTCAGTTTCTGCCTGCTACCGTGAAATGCGCTATAGTATTGGCCGAAAACGACCCTGGCTGGGCTGCTGACTGTGAATTTTGCAATTTCGGTGATAATTCAAGGGCAATAATGCAGTTTTCGAGCTGCCCGGTATGAAGACTAGTAACGAGTTGATGGAAGGGATGGAGGATCAAAGGCTCGAATATAAGGGCGTATTCGTATCCCGTATCCGACATGAGGTTTGACACGAAGTGGAGTTCGGAAGACCTGAAGTGGCTCGTTTGTGGGGCGATTGGAAGTTCGGAAGAGACAAAGTTTTGGCTAAGGGCTCATGACTTGAGGTTTGACACGGGATATGAATTGCCATGATCTGCCACCACAGAAAATGAAAGGCAACAGGTCAGTTTGCAAATGCCGGTCTGGAAAAAAATAATTCATTAAGTTTCGAGGACCCAATTTCGATCCGCCGCCGTACTGTAATCCACAGCGCCAGCTCGAACCTCATCAAAAGACGGCTGCGACGTAGATGAAGAAACAAACGCGGTACAGTGAAGACAACCAGATAGAGACCCAATTGCAAATATGCACCGCACTGTGACTACATTTAACCTCTCTGAAACGCACAAAGCCATTTTTTTTGGGTTGCGTAGCAACCCTTTATATTTGGTCTCACATTTTGGGGATATCATTCTAAGAGTGTTTTTTACGCACGTTTTGGAGCACTCGTTTGAATGTTTTGAAACTGTGTTCAAACGGATGCCTCAAATAGTGGATAAAAAACAATCTTGAATGAGATCCCCAAAACACGTAAGCACGTACGTATCATGTTGAAACCATGAACTTGCTCGACCGTCACAACCTCGTCGATAAATACGGCGGATCATGCGGCCGAGCATAATGTTCTGGCATCGACATGAACGAATGCAATTGTACAAATGAACAACAAGGTATGAGGTGGAGTGAGTGCTTCAAAATGAATGTTAAAATGCATCATGCAGCAACAGAGGTTGATGGGGTCGTTGAAACAGCGAAAACACGCTGCCCCAAAGACGATTAACAACCTCTAATTGCATACATAACACATACTAACACCACACTTTGAAACACACATCCCACAAACACGAACGCAAACGCACGTAAAAAAAGTACAACCCACGTAACCGAACACACGAATGCATCGAAGTGCAACCCCACAGTGAAACAAACACAATGACAAGACATGAAAACACACCCGCACAAAACACACCTGCACCGCACACGCATACATACACAAATAGGTTGAGAGCAGACAAGCATAACAAAGAGTTGCAATAAGTTAATTATGTATCAATCTCTGCTACCTTGTCCCCCCCCCTCCCCCTTTCCGCCTTCCTTCCTCTCCTCCGCCATCGAAATCTCCTCCCACCCTTTTCCACATTGTCCCCTCTCTCGATCCCTCCCTGCTCCCCACAACGCGTCTCGCACACCTTGCAAAACAAACAGGTCAAGCAGAAAACGAATTGTAGTCGGAAAACGGAGTGAACTATTCAATGACGAGCACGCACTTGATTGTGAAATGAAACTTGAAAGAAATAAGTACAAAAGAACACTGCATTTGACGACTCACAAGCGTGATTTGAAGCATAGATCCCCTGGGGTCACACACACCATGCTGGTGTGCAGCAAGGCTCCAGCGAGCAAGGTGCCTTGGTGCAACGAGCTGGGCATCGCCATGCTACAAGGTGCCAGAGAGTTGCAGCAAGGCACTGGCAGAGGAGCAAGCGGGCTGCTGTAACAAGGCGTGAGCTCACTGCAGCAACGCATGAGCTCACTGCAGCAAGGCGTGAGCTCACTGCAGCAACGCGTGAGCTCACTGCAGCAACGCGTGAGCTCACTGCAGCAACGCGTGAGCTCACTGCAGCAATGCGTGAGCTCACTGCAGCAACGCGTGAGCTCACTGCAGCAACACGTGAGCTCACTGCAGCAAGGCGTGAGCTCACTGCAGCAACGCGTGAGCTCACTGCAGCAAGGCGTGAGCGTGTGCACAAATTTACCAGCGCGCTGCCGCAACAAGGCTGCCGCAGGAATTTGCCAGCGCCGCAAACAAGGCAGCAGCGCACAAGCCGCCAGCTGTCAAACTATATGTGCTGCATATTGTCTAGGCTGTAGTGGGGTAGCCCATATGGGGTACAACCTAGTTAGGGTTTACTACTTGTACTCCTGCATCCTGTTAGTTCATCCATCTTTCCTGCTGCTAGATTCTAACATGGTTTCAGAGCACTAAGGTCCGTAGGACCGTTTTTTTTTTCGGGCCCACCTACCGCTGCGGTTACCGCGCTACCCCACGTAGCCTTGCCTTGCCTTGTATGCCTTGCCTTGCCTTGCCTTGCCTGCGCGCTGCCCCTAGAGGCCCGTAAGGCCCGCGCGCCGCCTCTACACGCCTGTCGGGCCCGCACACACGCTGCTACCGCGCGCTGCCCGCACCGAGATCGCGCAGCCCGCCCCGAGTCGCGCGCAGCCCGCTGCAGCCACGCGCAGCCCGCACCGAGCCGCGCGCAGCCCGCTGCAGCCGCGCGCAGCCTGCACCGAGCCGCGCACAGCCCGCTGCAACCGCGCGCAGCCCGCACCGAGCCGCGCGCAGCTCGCAGCTGCCGCGCGCAGCCCGCGCCGAGCCCGCGCAGCCCGCGTCGAGCCGCGCGCGGCCTGCTACGGCCTCGCGCAGCCCGCGCGCGGCCCGCAGCAGCTCGTGCCGAGCCGCGCGAGGCCTGCTCCTGCCTCGCACGGCCCGCGCGCGGCCCGCAACAGCCCGCGCCGAGCCGCGCGCGGCCCGCTACTCCCTAGCGCGGCCGCGCGCGGCCCTTTGCCTCGGCCCCGACCTGCCGCTGATGCGGCCCCGCCCAGCAGCTGCCATGGCCCCGACCTGCCGCTGATGCGGCCCCGCCCTGCAGCTGCCACGACCCCGACCTGCCGCTGACGCGGCCCCACCCTGCTACTGCCGCTGACGCGGCAGCGCCCTCCAGCTGTTTCGGCCCTGCTCTGCAGCCGGTTTTGCGGCCCCGACGTCGCCGCTGTCGTGCGCCTACTCGAGCGCCGGCCCTGCTCTCCCAGCCTTTGGTGAGCGCCTGCCTGCCTGCCTGACGGCCTGCCTGTCTGCCTGCCTGCCTGCCGGCCTGGCTGCCTGCCTGCCTGCCGGCCTGCCTGCCTGCCTGCCTGTCTGCCTGCGTGTCTACTTGCCTGCCTGCCTGCCTGCCTACCTGCCTGCCTGTCTGCCTGCCTGCCTGCCTGCCTGGCTGCCTGCCTACCTGCCGGCCTGCCTGCCTGCCTGCCTGCCTGCTTGCTTGCCTGCCTGCCGCGCCTGCCTTTCCTGCGCTACTGCTACTGGCAGGTGGCCAGATGCAGCTCCAGCGACATTCACGCGAGCCTCTGACGCCTCAGCAGCTTAGTGAGTGGTATACTAGCTGGGGTTGTCGCGGTAGCCGTCGTAGCTGTCGCCCTGGAGCTGGTCAGTTGGGAGCGTCTGGCAGTGGCCAGCTGCAGCTGCAGGGACGTCCACGTGAGACACTTACGCCCCGGCAGCTCCAGGAGTGGTACGCTCAGTGTAGCAGGTCTACGCGTACAGTCCGCTGCCCGTACGTCATTCGCACAGGTGCTAGGACTGGTCAGCCTTGTGGGACGCTTGGTCACACACAGTCCCGCTGCTTCGCCCGTCTGAGCGACGACTGGCGCACAGTGTTTGGCGACGAGGCTGAGCTCCCCACCTGGCTGGAGCTGCATAGACAGAGGGTAGATATCTTTGCGCTTGACTATGATGCTATTCTCACTGCCATGTATGCATTGTCTACTAGTGCTGACCGTGCCTGTTGCCTGTGCGTACCGCCTGACCCTGGTGAGGCTGCTGCCCTAGGTGCTAGTGCGTCTCCTGCTCTAGGTGCTGGTGAGGCTGCTGCTCTCGGTGCTAGTACGTCTACTGCTCTAGGTACTGGTGAGGCCGTGGCATCAGGTGCTGCTGTGTCTGCTCTCTCTGGTACTGCGCCCACTGCGGTCTCGCACACCTTCACCCTTGACTCAGGAGCTTCCCGCTCCTTCTTTCGCGACTGCACCGCACTTACGCCGCTCCGTCGGCCAGTCCCGGTCTCCCTGGCGGACCCCTCTGGGGGTCCAGTCCTTGCCCACTATTCCACGGTTCTGCCGTGTCCGGCCGTCCCGTCCGGCTCGCTGTCAGGTCTTTACCTCCCCTCGTTCTCTACGAACTTGGTGAGTGGAGCTGACCTCCAGGATGGGGGGGTTGACCAGTTCACTCCTGCGAGTCAGCGAGTGACTCACTGTACGTGTGCTAGGACGGGCCGGCACTTGGCCACGTTCACCCGTGCACCTGGCTCGAGTCTGTACACACTGACCACTGAGTCCCCTCAGGTAGCTGCGTCTGCGTTTGCGTCTGCGTCTGGTCAGCTGGCGGCCCCCTGCGAGTGTCGCGCTTTGTCGCACGACACTCTCCTGTGGCACCACCGCCTTGGTCACCCCTCCTTGCCTCGCCTGCGTAGCATGCACTCTCGCTCCCTGGTCTCTAGTCTTCCCAGGTCCCTGCCTGCCCTCCCTCCCTCGCCTGCGCCGCCCTGCATTCCTTGCGTCGAGGGGCGGCAGCGCGCCGCTCCTCACTCCTCCTCGTTTCCTCCCACAGAGGCTCCACTGCAGACGCTCCACCTGGACGTGTGGGGCCCAGCCCGCGTCCAGGGACAGGGCCGCGAGCGGTACTTCCTGCTGGTCGTCGACGACTACACGCGTTACACCACGGTCTTCCCCTTGCAGAGCAAGGGGGACGTCCCTACTGTTTTGATCCTCTGGATCCGCGCTGTTTGTCTCCAGCTCCGCGAGCGGTTCCGGTCGGACTTTCCTGTCCTGCGTCTGCACTCTGACAGAGGTGGTGAGTTCTCCTCCGACCTCTTGGCAGCCTACTGTGCGGAGCACGGCATCACCCAGTCGTTCACGCTTCCGGCCTCTCCGCAACAGAATGGGGTTGCTGAGCGCCGCATTGGCTTAGTCATGGAGGTCGCTCGTACCTCCATGATCCATGCGGCTGCCCCCCATTTTCTGTGGCCGTTTGCGGTCCGGTACGCCGCGCATCAGCTCAACCTCTGGCCCCGTGTCTCCTTGCCGGAGACCTCGCCCACACTGCTGTGGACGGGGAAGGTTGGCGATGCGTCGCGTTTCCGGGTCTGGGGTGCTCGTGCCTTTGTCCGCGATACCACCGCGGACAAGCTCTCCGCCCGCGCTGTTCCCTGTGTCTTCCTTGGCTTTGTCCCTGACGCGCCTGGTTGGCAGTTTTACCACCCCACCTCGCGCCGTGTCTTTGCGTCTCAGGACGTCACGTTCGACGAGTCGGTTCCCTTTTACCGTCTCTTCCCCTACCGCACTGCCTCGCTCCCCCCCCCGCCGCTCTTCCTTGCTCCAGGTGCTCCCCAGGTAGACCCCCTCCCCGCTCCCGGTCCTGCTCCTTCAGGTGTTTCTCAGGTAGACCCTCCTCCCTTG